ATGTATTAGCTGCATCTTCAAGAATACCAATACCAAAGCTTTTAGGACACTTTTGGTAGAAATAGTCAAGGTCAATGATATCAGGTGCAACTATAGTTAAGGTTGGCATTTTTTTCCTAAAAATAGATTTTTAAGTATGTTTTCCGAAAAAATTTGTTTAATTTAGAGACTTTCAGACTAATTAGAAAAGTTTAGAAAAAAGTTTAAGTTTCAGGTAAGCTGATTGGGTGTTTGGGAAATTCTAATGGGTACCAGAAAAGTGAAATTTCTGGGGCACCCCTGCAAATTTTTCTAAAATGCCAATGAAAAAACCTACAAAGAACAAGTTTTTGTTTTTGCTTTTCACTTGTATCTCTATGAGTTTTGGTCTGTTTTGGATAATCTATATATCAAAATGTCCGATTCAGTGAACTGAACAACTTTTGAATAGACAATATAATAGATTTAATTAGTAAACTATTGAGTAAATAGACAAAAACCAAAAATATGGTTTTTGAAACTTTTTCCGGCACCCAAGTGTTATTAGAACTTGAAACACAGCCGCCTGGGAGTAGAAAAATGTGCTGAACAACTTTACTTAAGAGGTCAAGTAAGGTTTACCTAATAGAATGTTGAGAAATAATTAAATGTTTTTTTTGTATTTTTGGTATAAGTGATCTGCGGAAAGAGTTTTTATTTATTATTTGTAATATATTAATTAACTTACTTTTAATACAATATTTTTAAAAAATTTTTATAATTTATTAATTTTTTTAATAAAATGTTGACTTTTCCAAATACTTTAGCTAATACTATATTAATAGTCTGTTTTTTTATATTCAGTTAATTTATATTATTTAACAATTTTCTAAGATATTTTCTTTTTTGTTATAATGCTGTAATGCTAAATTAAAATGATTATCAATTATAAATTTTCTAGTATAATTAACAACACATTTGCAAACAATACAAAACATTTAATTATTTAAAAATTATCTTTATAGTTATTAGAATTTACATATTTTAAAACTATAAACTTGGGTTTTCTCATTATTAAAATTAAACAAAAACATATAACATTCAAAATACTTAAATTGATATTATAACAAATTACATAATGTTCAAAATTCTTTATTCATAACAATTACAACAAAAGAAGCCGTAATATAATAAATCAATATTGTAATAATTGTAATAATTACAAATGATGCAATTATTATTTACTTAAAGTGCATCACATAATGTAATACAAAACCTAAATTTAGCAAAAATTTATCACATTTATGGATCTATTATGTGACCACTAGGAGTCTGCAAATGCTCATTCCTGGCACATTGAATCCACCAGGGTGACCAAGAAAATTTCAGGTCATGTGATGATGGACAAAATAATTTCGAATTTCTTAAATTTGTTAAAGTTAGTGTTAGATTTAGGGTTTGAAAATTGAAAACATATAGTAAAATTAATCAAGAAAAAAATTTTATTAGAACGTAAAGAGTGGTTTTTTATGTGAATTCTTGGGATAAAGCGAGTTTTTTGTCAAAACGAACTTTGTTTTGAATTTTCCTGATCGTGTTACGTTGCACTAAATTTAGATTTCCCATTGGCTAAATTTGTCGCTGATCATCATATGACCCGAAAAACTCTTGGTCGCCCTGGTGGATTCTGGCACATTGGAACCAGGCCGGGCATTAGACCTTATGCCATGCCTGTGCCCATAGGCACAAAAGTGCCAGTCACTATTAAAGGCATAGGCACAAAATGCTAGGCACAAGTGCCAGGCACAATTAAATAATAAATATTCAATTTTTGTGCCTGTGTCCATGCCCATGCCGATTTTTTGTGCCTATGCCCATGCCTAAATTTTTTGTTAGGCACAGGCATGATCCCGGGTTGCAGACTCCTAGTGACCACATATGTTCGATATCTCTACCTGAATCTTATCCAATATCGCCATCAAATATTCACTTTACATGACAGTGTTTAAAAATCTTTAAATTCATTAGTTAGGATTAGCATTTATAATACTGTAATAGGGCTAGGTTTTAAAGATGTAATAATAAAATCACTTGAAAAAGATGTAATAATAAAATCACTTGAAAAAATTTTTTTTGTTAAAGCACAAAAGGTGGTTTCTTGTGCAAGTTTTTGAGAAGCGATTTTTGAAAAACGAACGTTTTTGTTTGATCGTGTAATGGTACATTAAAACGAGACTCGCTATTGGATGATTATTACATGAAAGTGAAAATTTGACGACGATACTGTAGTTTGATCATCACGTGACCACGTGATGGCCTGATCGCTTGAATATACCTTACTAAAAAACGAAGATAAGTATTTCCATATACCCTTTTTTTTTATTTATTTATTTATTAGTTTAACCATATCACTCATCTAATCTTCTAGGGGAATATTTCAATACCACGAACTAGGTGTACCGCAAATAATTTTCCACCGTGACAGCACTCACACTCAAAGGATCTACTTCATGTTGTAAATATTATTTCGGATTATCGAATCTGAATGAGATTGAAAATTAGATAAATTCAATTGATGTAATACATTTTCAAGAATAAAATCACACCTCTGTATAAACACTCTCGTTCATATTATTATTCTTATTATCCGTTGTGATAAACTGGGTAGACAATTGATAAGAAGAGGAGGATAGTGACTCATTTGACTTCCCTTTTTAGACTATGACAATATAAGGAAAAACGGTTCAGCAATAGATAGTACTTTTTTATGCTCTGTTAAAATAGCATCAGCTTCATCCGATTCATAATTAAAAATAAATATATTTAATGTCAGATTTGCAAATTATTGGAACTTTAACACATAAAATAAACCCACATCAGGATGAAAAATCTAGTTATGTACTCTGTTTTGATTAATTGCTTTCTTAGCCAGAAACAAAGATTTAAGATTATATTTGTGTATTACATTTGTTGTGTTAATTACATTAATCGTGTTCAAGACTCTATCAGTTGTCGCTCTTGCGGTTTTTAACATCCCTTTGGCCTTGTATCAAGAATCAGAAAACCGTTACTTTTTGCAAACCAACCAATGTAAAAGGAGTACGCCTATTATTCAGTTCTCTTAGTGATTAATTTCTTTCCAGAAGTAGAAACGTTTGGATCGGATATTTAGACCTAATAAAAAAATAATATACATAGTGCAGTACAAACTTACTCGCAAAGAACAAATGTATAGTCGTCCACGACGAGCCAGAAGATCGTCAATAGGGCAGCTAGAAAGTGCCCTACCTAGTCGTGGTTAATTAGTCAAGAGGTATTTATTCCATCACAACGAGCCAGAGGGTCGTCAGCAGGACAGCCAAAGGGTGTCCTGCCTAGTTGCAGTGGACTCCTAGGCTAATGCGCTTACCTTCAAATTATGAAGTTCTTTGGCTTGTTTTATTTGTCGATAACTAAACTTATTTTCTAGATTGTTATTCGTTATGTTAATCATATTAATCGTGTTTAAGACTCCATCGGTTGTCGCTTTTGCGGTTTTTAACATCCTTTCGGCCTTGTACCAAGAATCAGAAAACTGTTACTTTCTGCAAACCAACCAATGCATAAGGAGTACGCCTATTATTCAGTTCTCTTACGTGATTAATTTCTTTCCAAAAGTAGAAACGTTTGGATCGGATATTTAGACCTAATAAAAAAATAATATACATAGCGCAGTACAGACTTACTCACAAACAACAAATGTAAAGTCGTCCACGACGAGCCAGAGGGTCGTCAGTAGGGCAGCTAGAAGGTGTCCTACCTAGTCGTGGTTAATTAGTCAAGAGGTATTTGTTCCATCACAACGAGCCAAAGGGTCGTCAGCAGGACAGCCAAAGGGTGTCCTGCCTAGTTGCGGTGGACTCCTAGGCTAATGCGCTTACCTTCAAATTATGAAGTTCTTTGGCTTGTTTTATTTGTCGATAACTAAACTTATTTTCTAGATTGTTATTCGTTATGTTAATCATATTAATCGTGTTTAAGACTCCATCGGTTGTCGCTTTTGCGGTTTTTAACATCCTTTCGGCCTTGTACCAAGAATCAGAAAACTGTTACTTTCTGCAAACCAACCAATGCATAAGGAGTACGCCTATTATTCAGTTCTCTTACGTGATTAATTTCTTTCCAAAAGTAGAAACGTTTGGATCGGATATTTAGACCTAATAAAAAAATAATATACATAGCGCAGTACAGACTTACTCACAAACAACAAATGTAAAGTCGTCCACGACGAGCCAGAGGGTCGTCAGTAGGGCAGCTAGAAGGTGTCCTACCTAGTCGTGGTTAATTAGTCAAGAGGTATTTGTTCCATCACAACGAGCCAAAGGGTCGTCAGCAGGACAGCCAAAGGGTGTCCTGCCTAGTTGCGGTGGACTCCTAGGCTAATGCGCTTACCTTCAAATCACAGAGAAGTTCTTTGGCTTGTTTTATTTGTTGATAACTAAATTTGTTTTCTAGGTTTTCTTTGCAATAGTTCTTAGATTGTCATTTAGCCAGAAGTTCTCTTTACGAAAAATGGTCCAACTTTCAGGAATATGGATGCACAAAATATTGAAGTATCTACTCTGCACGAGAATTTATTGTTGAAACGTAAAATCAAAACAATCAAATTAGCTTCATTTTTAAAAGGACGTGATTTTCATGTTACACCTGATCCTTCAATCTAATTGGTTAGAATCACTAATTTTCCCCCATAGTTCTTATTGGACGAAAAAAAATCCCGATTTTCGATCAAATAATGGAAATGTCGTTGAAACAGTATAAAGGTCTAATAGAACAATAATATATTAAAGTTTTGCAAGGAATTTTTTTTGTTAGAACACGAAAGGTGGTTTTGTAACTAAAATCTTAAGTTATCAGCGATTTTTGAAAAACTTCAAAAGCTTCTTGAAATTTCATGTTACACCTGATCTTATAATTTGATTGATAGACGAAGGTGGCATAGTCTACATTGTCCAATTAGAGATGGCAATTACAACTGTCCAATTAGAACCGTGTGATTAAATTAGCTATTGGGATTCGAGGATTTATTTTACACCTAATTTTAAACTTACGTGTAAGCTTTCTTACCTTCAATTTCTATATGGAGACAATGCATAATCTAGTGGCACAAGCATAGTGGGTTTATTATGATTGGTTGATTTAAAAATCATTTTATCATAATAAAATCTTATTAAATT